CTACAGCAACAGCAGTGGGCATAATAAAGAATAATGAAACACACCGTCCACAAATCCTGAAACATCATTGGACGACTCATATCAATGCCAGGAAATATGAGTCATGGACCTAATCAACAAAAATGTAAGTATATATATAGTAGGAAAAAATTTAAAGCAATAGATTGAAAAATCAAATTCTGAAAACAAAAATACAACCACAGAAAAAGTAGGGTTAAAACTGGGTTAGTGGAGGAATATCGAAGCTAATGAAAGTTTTCTAAAAATATCAGAGATACAAAGAAAAGATAATCATCCTTATTAATAATTGGTCGTTAGAAAGACCATGATTTATTTTTGTTCTTACAAACCACAATAACACACTTTCTTTATCCTCCAATGAAAAATTAACATATGTTTGGATTACAACAAAAAAAATTAAAATACTGATTTAAATTAGTAAAATTATTACAGACGTATATTGACAGTATTGGCAGAAAATGTAAAAAAAATATTAATGTTAGAAACATAATCACTGTTATAAGAAAAAGAAAAATAGATAAAAATAAATATAACAGTCAAATCAAAGCTGGGCTAGATAGATTTATTGAAATATGTAAAATAAGGAATGTGATAATTAAAAAAAACTCTAGGTTTGTAAAAATAATATTTCTGCAAAATAATTATTATTTAAGTTATTAAACATAAATATCAAAGAACAATGATGAATAAAACAGCAAACTATCCCAATGAAACGACACGCCTAGAAAATGATATAATCAAATCAAATTAAGGTAAATATGTGTAATAATCGTAAGACTTTATTCGTCTAATAATGACATAGCTCAGATTTTATGTTGGTAACAAGCTTCGAATAACAAATACCAAACGTAAGATCTGTTTCAGAATTTTCAAGCAAACCTGCACAAAGTGTTACCTGTGTATAACTATCCCTAATTTCAAACTGATAGAATAGAGTAAAGAAGGCAGCTAGTCAACAGCACCCATTGTCTGACCGAATAATGGGATTTCACTGTCACTCTACCGTGCACCAACAGTCCCAACGTACGGAATGTGTTTTTATGACAAAGAGACGCGAACCATGAACATATGGATTCACAGTCCGTACATGCTAACTACTAGGCCACGTCCGCCCTACTAAACAAAACAAGAAAAATAAAACAAACTTCAATATATAGAGAAGAAATAATCAGACATCAAAGCCAGTGATAAACGTCCATAGTTAATTAAACATAGTAATAACGATGTTCCAGGTCACGTGCTGCCATTGGAATTATTAACCTCCTTGCCGATCGTACACAAGCTGATGGCTATATATGGTTAGGCACCGTTTTCCGACTCTTATGCGAAGAACAATGAGGTTAATGTTAGACCACACATATTTACATAGACTCGGCCAACCACAGATAGCTAAAGCCAGTTTATAGTGTTGTAAGCCTTCAGAGTTACTGCTGAGCTACTGATTGATGCTGATTGTAATCAACTATATTTTAAGTATGGTAGTACTTAATAATATGGATCGACTAGGATTCCAAATAATTCACACACCGAAAATCCTAAGTGAAGACTGACCATTCAAACTATTGGTTACAATATATATATATTTACTACATTTCAAATATAACAATTCAAAAATTTCTTGAACAGCAATTTTGTGTCTACTACCTACCTACCTGATCACGTCAGCGGGACTATCCCTTACAGAGCTCAGACTTTTGGTACAAGATTTCTCCAGCTTACTTGACTAGTTTGTGGGTATCCTCTTTTGATATCCCGATAAATATATAGGGATTTTTATAAATGGTAAACATCTCATGCACACCCACTTAAATATCTTCTCAACTCAGTTCAACCCAATAGATGGCGAGACATATCGATTGATAGATATGCGACAGGTTCTAAAGGTAAAGTATATACTTTATACAGGTATAACATAAAAAGTAAACAAACAAGAGTATTACAAAATTTTGAACTTTAAAATGGAGTAGAGGTCCTGCTACAATAAGTAATGAAACAAGAATTAATACCCCCAATCACAAATTTATAAAATTTAATCCCTTCTTGGACAGCTTTATACACTTATCTGTAGGCCAAAGTAAGGATTAAATTTTACAGATTTATGATTGTGGTTTTAATTCTTGTAAAAGTTATAGCTATTAGAAATATGGCCATACTGAAAGTTTATATAGGTTGTGTCCATTCCATGAACGTATGAAAACTTAATAAATAAATAGGAAACAATAAATTGAATATTAATGGAAAGTAGGTATCTTTGGTTTTGAATTTTAAAATCTATCCAACTAGTATCACTTTACTTGTTTGTGTACTTTTTATTGCAGCATTTATTTTGTTTTGGATACTTCTTATAGCAAGTATACGAATAGCCAATAATCCCTAATTTTCATTAAAATTGTATTTTTTTCCTATTTATTGTTATTAAAACAGTTACTCCAATATTGGAAGTAGCTGTCCCAATATCGAAAACAGCTGCTCCAATATTCGAAGTAGGTATCCAAATATTGGAAGCAGGCATATCTAAATACGTCATAACTACTATGTAAGTATAAAGTTTGTTTCTAAACAAGTACTTCATCAGGTTTTGTTTTTCTCCATTAAAATATTTGTGTATGATTTTTGTGAAAATAAAATAAACATTTTTTTCCTATATATACTTTTTGTGACTTTTCATATTAGAAATTTCGTTTTAGTCATATAATTACATTATACTTTATAGAAGTAAAAAACCTATTCTGAAACAGTAATATTATTTAATTGTGTTTAACTGGCGCTAAAAAGCTCTTGGTCTATAAAACAAAATGCATTTTAAGAAAGTAATGTTTACCCTACAAGTACGAACATGAGTTGCAGGGAAAATGTTACAAGACTGAAACTGCAACTTTTCTTTTAAGACCTAATTAGGAAAGTAGCATGGAGCTCGAAACGCCGTTTGGAAATCAAGAAAAACATTCATTTCGTTATGCAGGTTATCAATTGCTGTAAAAACAAGTTTATTTTTACATATTATAGTGTAACATAGTCTAGTCTCGTAGGTCCATTTTTTTTCATGTTACACATTGGAAAAAAGTACTGAACTTTTTGCATACATTCTTTGGAATCTACCAATCAATATCATATGGAGTACTTTCTGATTGGGATTGTAGTAGGCTGTCATTTTCTGTCAGATACATCGAGCATTGAAAATGGCTTAAAATAAAGCTTTTAAATTTGGCCCTGCAATGATATATCTTTAATGTATAATTTTTCTATATAAAATAGGTATCTTATAAGTTTCATACGAGCAGGAATATCTTTCAAAGCACAACTGCCCACCAGTGATAAATTTATCTAATATATATAGTCCAAAAGTTAATAAAATTGAGAACTCGGAGGCTATGCATACATGATCGAAGTTATGAGCCAAACAAAATATTCACGTTTCTGAACTATTCTAAAACCTGGAAAGAGCTTGTGTACACTTCAACTCCATTTTTCTGGTGAGAATCTGTTGGGCTCCACCACCTTTCAAGCAAATGACACATACTTCCCAACTCATTCTACTTTCTCTATTCTATATCTGAAACAAAGCAAATGTTTTTCCAGTATTTTGCACAAGTATTTTGACCATCACAGGCATATATAAGATATCAATTACTCAGTTACCAACAGCTTAGTCTTCCTATGAAGGCCCTAACAGATACATAGCTAGCTATTTTACAACACGTATCTACGAAGTCCACTATAGCTTAATGAAAATCTAATATTAAAACTACTTTGGAGCTTTAGGCTTTATATATTTTAGGCTACACACACATATATACATTTAATCAAAGTGTTAGGTTGAGATGTTGGTTGTGCTTATTGTGATAATTGATCACTAAATGGACAGACAGATAGGTTGATGTCTTAACCGATAGAATTCCTGACAGCAAATCTGTTCACAGTCAAAACATTTGTTTCTCAGTAGAATAAAAAGATGTTCTAATGAAAAATTGTACATTGCCTGTTGAGGTAGACTTTAAGTGAAATGGTACAGTACAATTATTTCAAGAAAACAAAGCGAAATGGCACAAGTCTTGCCATCTCAAATTTTCATCCTCTAAGTTGCAAAGAGACATAGAAAATGTGGAAAAGAAACGGAAGTACGAGGCTAATGGTAAAAATCAATGATTCTCTGAAGTTCCTGAGGAATATGAAACTTTGAATATGCTATAATAATATAATGGATACATTCTGAAATTATAAACTTTTAAAAATATTATTTTACTTTTCAGGTACAAAAATTATTCATACAACTATTTTATTCTGTTTCTAATCATATATTGATTTTAAACAGATAAAAAAAATAGTCTATGGTATTTTTAAAAGTATGCCTACATTAAAGTGTTATAAACAGGCAAGTTTGAATTCATTTATATTCTCCCTCATAGGTAGCGCTACTATTTCTTTAAAAAAAATAGCTATACAAATTTGATAACACGACATGTCCTTATCGCATCACACTGCATAATAAAATTTGTATTGTGTAACTGTCTAGCGATTGGCCAATTCAAATAAAGATAAATGCATTTTTTCAACCTAGAAAAAGTAATTGTTCCACCCCATACGTTTCAATATAGCCACAAAAATTCCAGGGATTCTGATCTGTTCCATATTCACATTGATTGGTGGAAACTATCATTGTACCTTGCTTTTTTCCCATAATTTGCTAAAATAATAAAAGGATGTCCGTATTATGTTTTAAATTGATTTATAGTTTATTGAATAATTTTTAAAGCATAGTCTGCGGTGCCTACCAGATATTATAAGAAAAGTTTAATTTGGGTCATAACAAAGTCAGAAGTTTTTGAGTAAAATTAGTATTTTACAAACATAGAAACGTGTTGGAAATACTTAAATGTGATTTTAGCTATTTAAATAACAATTTTGATATTAGTTCTCAACTATTTTTGTCATATCTTAGGTAACTTCCTCAATTACCAATTTACGTTAGTGAGAGGTCGCTTCACTACTAAGATGGCTGCATTAATACAAGCTGTTGCGCGTCAAGCGCAAGCTACTTTTTCACGTAGTATAACAGAAGAAACCTTTGGTGAGTATTTTTCAAACCTACATAAACTTGTTAACCAGGCTAGAGCTGCTGATGTTAACCTAAATCAAGATTTACTAAAGAATACAAAGGATTATTCACTACTGAAATCCAAAGGCATTATAGCTCCAGTGACGTATGTTGAAATGTACGAAGATCAGACGTTTTCTATGGGTATATTTGTCGTGAAAAACGGTGCAAAAATACCACTACATGATCATCCTCATATGTGTGGAATCTTGAAAGTTTTGCACGGGAAATTAAGCATCTCAAGTTTTAATTCTTCATTAACGAATGGCAAAGAATACAAATCTCCAGAAGAAATATTATCAATGGTTCCTCCATGGCAAAAACATCGTCTGTTTCCAGCAAAACAAAACAAAGATATTGTTGCAAGTCCCGATAGTGAACCGTGTGTCCTTACACCAAAAGAGGGTAATTATCATGAAATAACAGCTCTAGATGGACCTGCTGCATTTCTTGACATCCTTGCACCTCCATACGACATGAAGGAAAGAGACTGTCATTACTATCGTAAAGTAGGAGAAACCCGGCAAGAAGGAAAAGATTCTAGAATTTCGTGGTTGGTTGAAATACCTCCACCAACAGATTTCTGGTGCAATACATCACCATATCTTGGCCCAGATATCCACATATAACCCTGTATATAACATTATTCAGTGCACAGTTTTAACTAGAAACCAAATGTATTGCTCAGTTTAAGTTTTGAATCAAATCTTGCAAATTATGTTAATTTTAAAAACATATTTCTTTATTGCTTTCCTATTGTTTTAATGGAGTTGATCCCAGAAAATGTTCCTATTTGGTAAGGAACTAGTTGTTTTGGGAAACACCTAGTGGTCTGTAAAATTCAATGTTTTCTGTTGAATTACAAAACGTAATTGATTTTCATATAGCTTCGATTGAATATATAAAGTGTACAAAAAATTCATTAATTCAGATCAAAAGTTATAATGTCATGGCCACTTTGAGTGAAATGTGTGTAAATAAAATAGACTATACCATTAATTCTGTTAAATTAAGTGTAGCAGCCTAAACCATGAAGTAAAAGATAAATGCCAGCTTTATTGAGAAGACGTCAATGTGTAGGTTTCGAATGTGTTACTTTGCTGTTATTCTAAATTAATTTTGTTGTTGTAAGTGTGACTTTTGTCATAATTTTTATTGCAAAAAAACAGTTAAACTTATGAATTTAATTAATTTGACATATATATATAGTCAACTTGACACACAAGCAAGTAATCAACATAAAATTGTAAGAATAGACATGTACATTTATTTACAGTATTAAGCTAGGATGTAAAATACATATCAGTAAGTTTCACCAAAAAAGCAAAATATATTTTCAAATATGACAGATTTCATTCTGATCTAAATAATGTCTGAACATATGTTTATAGTAAATTAACTTTGTATGTTAAATGGCTTAATTGTTATGTACACCATATTAATGATTATTAGGGAAACTATAACAACAATGTTAGTGATTGGTGTTTTTATTTACAGTTAAGAAGTGTCAACTTACTTTGTGTAGTTATATTTCACTGAGAAATGTTTCAAAAATGTTCATAATTTCATCTTTATAATAACTGAAAAAAAAAAAGATTTTCTCTGAATTTTTCTTTTTCCTTGCAAATACGTAGTTTTGTGTTTGAACTTGAGCTTGCTTAAGGGATGTGTATCTTTGTTTTGGTTACATTGTGATAGTAAACAGTTATGGAAACCATTTGGTTATAATTCAAAAGGCTTTAGTTTCTATGATTATTAGGAATTGTGTAGAAAAAAGTGCTTATGTTAAGTAATACATGGTTATGAAGATTAAGTTTGTGAAGTTGACCATACAAAGTGTTCTCAGATATATATGCATGAAAATATATGAAAAAATAATATTATTATTATTACAATTAGATTATATTCTATTAAACTATTTTTCAGTGTTTTTAGATACTGTGTTCTTGCTAACTAAAATGTGATCTTTTTTACTCTGCTTTCTTCACAAAATATTACAAACATTTTCCCCTTTTTTTTTATAATCACCAAGTGATAAACTTTCTTTAAATATTTATTACATGTGAATTAACTTCTTATGTACTTTTGTAAAAAGAGTTAGGAAGATCATATCTAACTGTGAACATATTTTGTGAAGGAAATATTTTTGTCTACAGAAGAACTTTCAAATACACCAGTTTTTCTAGTATTTTGAATATGAACATTTTATATGTTGAGTACGCATAACTGTAAATGCTATCAGCACCGGGCCACTTCAACATCGTACAGTAACATTGAACTGTGTATGTAATTTAGTGTAGTTTTCCATCCATGTAATTGATCCATAATCGAAAAATATTTTCCTTTCAACAAGATTCTTGCAATTGTACGATCTTATTGTTCCTTAGAAACATCTGGCTATCAAAAATAACATAAGAACCAAATCATTTAAAATACAGTAACTGATGCAAAGTGCATTTTACTAGGCTTTGTTTTAAAATATAATTGTAGGGGAAATTAAATTAAAGCTACAAAGACCTTAGAAAGAGTATGATTACTGAGTACAGTAAATCTGTAAACATTTTGCAGCAATGTTAAAGGACTGGCTCAGTCCGTAGAACAAATCTGTGTAACATCTATGTTTGCCTAATAAAACGTAATGTCTATAATATTCATGCCTAATTAGTCAAATTCAAACAAATATTTAAAGAAATTAAGCCATCAAATGCACCTCACTAGGACTATAAGCAGTAAGCTCACTAACAGAACATATATTTAATAAAAAATATGTACTGTTCTAGCCTGAACAGTATTTGATTTCACTAATATATTTATTGATACATGTATTACTAAACTTTAAATTTCCATTCAATAAATTAAATTATTGCTCTCAGCAAATTCCAATAATAAAAATGACCATTGGCTACTTCTGTTATAATGTAGTATTACATAAATAATGTTTGTTTCATAATTCTTTATAGTACCACAGTAACAGTGATTGTTAACTACTTTTTGTTGTAATATATACTCCGGTAACAGTGATTGTTATCTACTCCTGTTATAATACAATATAGTAGGGTAGGATAAATTACTTTTATCTACTCCTGTGTTATAAAACAGTGTAGGACTGCTGTAAGAATCAGTTATCTACTCCTGTGTTATAAAACGGTGTAGGACTGCTGTAAGAATCAGTTATCTACTCCTGTGTTATAAAACAGTGTAGGACTGCTGTAAGAATCAGTTATCTACTCCTGTGTTATAAAACGGTGTAGGACTGCTGTAAGAATCGGTTATCTACTCCTGTGTTATAATACAGTGTAGGACTGCTGTAAGAATCAGTTATCTACTCCTGTGTTATAAAACAGTGTACGACTGCTGTAAGAATCAGTTATCTACTCCTGTGTTATAAAATGGTGTAGGACTGCGGTAAAAATCATTTATCTACTCCTGTGTTATAAAACGGTGTTGGACTGCTGTAAGAATCAGTTGTCTACTCCTGTGTTATAATACAGTGTAGGACTGTTGTAAGAATCAGTTATCTACTCCTGTGTTATAAAACAGTGCAGGACTGCTGTAAGAATCAGTTATCTACTCCTGTGTTATAAAATGGTATTGGACTGCTGTAACAGTTATCTACTCCTGTGTTATAATACAGTGTAGGACTGCTGTAAGAATCAGTTATCTACTTCTGTGTTATAAAACAGTGTAGGACTGCTGTAAGAATCAGTTATCTACTCCTGTGTTATAATACAGTGTAGTACTGCTGTAACAGTTATTTACTCCTGTGTTATAATACAGTGTAGTACTGCTGTAACAGTTATTTACTCCTGTGTTATAATACAGTGTAGTACTGCTGTAACAGTTATTTACTCCTGTGTTATAATACAGTGTAGTA